GACCAGCAATGGTTTGACACAGGACCTGAGAGGTGTATCTGTCCCTTCACTTGATGCGTCTACTGTTTGCTGAAGCCTCATCAGAAATGGTCTCAGTGGTAGCTGTCAAGATGCCAACATGAAAAAAGGGTGAGGTATGTGAAATTGCACTAAAACCAGCATCCATAGAAGAGCTTTAGAATGTCCTTTAACGGTCTTGGAGAACTATTCCTGCAGACAACTTGAAGTAATTACATTAAATCTGCCTAAATTCAAACTGTGTTGAAGAATAAAGGTGCTCATACCAAATATTCACTTTCAAGCTCGTTCGAATTGTACAAACCATAATATACAACACTAAAAACCTTGTGTTATATACTCTATTTCTATGTATGTTTGCACATATCGATATATGACTACACAATTTTTCCTAGCAAATGATAAAGAAATGTGGAGTGGCTCAGTACACTTGTGGATTAGGATAAAATAACTACAGCCCTTAAGACTTAATCCAAGAAGATCGGCGGTTCAAAATTTAATCTGAGTCAAACTGTAAGAAGCTACACTGCGCAGTCATAGGCTGCACTGGTTTTAAAATCAAATGATTGTTGATTAAATGTCAATACAGAAAAGGAGCTTAATGACAAAATGTGTTTTCGAAATAACCGTCTTCTCTAGTGTAAGCCAGGCAGACGTACGTAAACCGTGCCGCTAGTGCGTGATCGCGTCATTTACACGTGCTTTGACGTGCTATACGTCCCACTGTGGCGAGCAGGGAGTGAAGTAAGACGGTAAGACAGCAAAATAATTTGTTTCGCTGTCGTATCATTTTGTATTCCTTGTCGTCGTTAGACTTGTCACCGGAAAGTAACAGATTTTCTCGATGGTTAAACTAAATTCCTGGAAAAACGGTTCAATTAAGACCAAGTTAACGAACAGATTAGCATGCTAACGTTAGCAGACAGTACACGGTACGGTTAGCTAGCAGAAATGAATTGAACTCCTTTCATACAGTCTCAGAGTAATTATCGCTGACAACCCGACTGTTTTTGATGGATAATAAGAGGCGGATTTCTTACATTTTCAAAAACTGAACTCTCTTTATGTTTTGGGGTTTTTTTTACCCTGCGTTTGTGTTGCTGTTGAGTGATGTATTAACTGCCAGAACAAAGACACCAAAACAAAGCAATGTCGCTGTCAGGTGTTTTTACTCTGTTCATCAGCACTTCAGTTGTTATGCGTGGCCCGTTTAGTTGGCAGCATTATGATGTAACTACGAGCACAATGTAGGTTATCCAGTCCTAAAGTCTTATCTGTAGCATTGTCCAACAAATATATTACGTTTTCAACTTAATATAGCTTACAGCTGCAGTATAATTCAAAACACGTCCCTTCCTCATTAGCCATTAAATCGGCGAACTACATGAGTGCAGAATTTCGATGTTAAAATCAGTTAAAGAGCCAACATTGGCACACTTGTAGACCCATCGGGGAAATGGCCTCGAAATCACAGATTCAGATTGGGGAAAACTACTTATCCCACAGTGAGCAGTTTGGAATTTCCCACTCGTAATAAATGGCAATAAGCTTCACTACCTTTGTAGTTTGTGTCAGTCACCCTGTTAGTGAGACACTCCAACAAACGGTCCTGCTTTCTGAAGAGGACTGTTTATGTCCCCCAGTTAAATTTGTATGTTTAAAAATGGTAAATGGACTGGTTCTTATACCACTTTTCTACTCTTTGGAGCACTCAAAGCACTCTATACAACATGCCTCATTCACAGAAGCACTTATTTCTGTCCCTAAGTGGTTTCTAACTAAATTAATACTCTGATGGATGAAGCTGAGAGGAACTTGGGGGTCAGTATCTTGCCCAAGAATACTTTAGCATGCAGGCTGGACTAGCCAAGGATTCGAACCACCAACCTTGCAATTGGTGGATGACCTGCTCTACATCCTGAGCTTGCTCCCTGGTTACTCGGGCGAGAAGCAGGGTACACCCTGGACAGGATGCCAGAATTCGCAGGTTTAACACCACATGTAGCAGCCTAGCACTCTAACATGTTAGAAATGGTCTTCATCTGTAACATACATGTGGAATATATCTAACGCTCTCTACACAACCATTGCGGATTAACAAAGTTCTTACCTGGTACTTGCAGTGTCACTAATGTGATATCACGTTTTTTGCAGGCAGGATGTTGCGGCTTCGCTGTAAG